GATGACATTTCCCATATAAAATGACAGCGATCTTCATTTCATAGTCATCGCTGACGCCGTTTTTATTCGATCATACGCTATAATAATACCGTATGATCGAATAAAAACGGCGTCAAGTTGGTTTGGAAATGACGATCGATGACATTTCCCATATAAATTTACATATGAAATGACAGCGATCTTCATTTCATAGCCATCGCTGACGCCGTTTTTATTCGATCATACGCTATAATGGCTGCGTATGATCGAATAAAAACTTTTTTCGTCAGTTCTTTTGAAATGACGATCGATGACATTTCCCATATACATTTACATAAGTTGGTTTGGAAATGACGATCGATGACATTTCCCATATAAATTTACATATGAAATGACAGCGATCTTCATTTCATAGCCATCGCTGACGCCGTTTTTATTCGATCATACGCTATAATAATACCGTATGATCGAATAAAAACGGCGTCCAGTTGGTTTGGAAATGACGATCGATGACATTTCCCATATAAATTTACATATGAAATGACGGCGATCTTCATTTCATAGCCATCGCTGACGCCGTTTTTATTCGATCATACGGTATAATGCTAACGTACTAATATTATTTTTCTATTCTTTTCAGTGCAGAAGTTTCCAACTACATCGCACCATGATCCAGGTCCACTACGTGCATCTTTTTTGATACACCTTGTATATATTGTATTTTATTTTTGTACGTTTTGTATTATAAATAAAGATAATTAGTTAAAATACTTTTTTATTTCCATGGGTTTTATATCTTTAATACATATCTCCTTACCTCTTCACTCTTATATGCTCCCGATAGAAATCGGTGATTTTGACGTTTAAAAATTTTGGTACAATTTTATGTCAGGTTGAGAAAATCTAAGTTTTGTATCAGGAATATATGAGAGCGAGGAGGTAAATACAATATAGTAGAAAATTATTTATATTAAAAGAGCACATATAAATACATGTTGCTACTAATTTTTAAATCCTCGCTCTCATTTATTCTCAGTATGGTCAGATTTTTAACAAAAGTTGGTCAAAATAATTCGACTAGGTGAAAAACTAGAGTACTAGACCAACGAGTTAGAATGAGTTAGATTTTTTCGAAAAACGGCCATAACTTCTAAACTATAAGGGTTAGAGAGGAACGGATCTCGTTTTTCAATTCTTCTATATATATTAGCGATTGGAGTAAGCATTTGAGGAAAAATGAAGGAAGGTTAACACCTTACCTCATTTTCGCCAAAATTTTGGTCTCCGATCGCGCCCTAATTATGCACCACTTATAGAGGGTTGAAAGGCGAATTGAATGCCGAGTTCCGTTCCTCTCTAACACTTATAGCTCTTTTGAGATATTATAATACTATAGATTTGGAAACGAGCTCGAAGTTCTAGAGATAGCAGAAATATCGTTGATCGGTGCTATATTTACATGTGGTACTCTGTTTCTCAACTCTTGCTGCACCCTGATTAAAATCGGCAATTTTCGATTAGTTTTAAAAATTTTCGTGCACTCTTTGACAAATAGAATTACTCGGGTTTGTATCAGGAGTGCATAAGAGCGACTAGTTAAAAATATTGGTACTTAATTTACTCCTCACCTCTTCACACTTATGTGCTCCTGATAGAAATCAGTGATTTTGGGCAAGGATTAAAAATGTTCGTTTAATTTTTGTTAAAGCTGTATTTTCCTCGATTTGTAATTGTGGAGTACATAAGTGAAGAGGTAATCAAGTAGTAGCCATTTTTATATAAAATACTGGTCTATCTCCAGAACAACCCTGAAAGTTTTATTATTAGAATATATTATTTCAGGAAATTAAATTACTTTTCTTTGTCTGATTAGACAGTATCTTCTAATATGCATATTTTGTTCAATAAACTCATTTATTATTATTAATTATTAAGATATAATTTTATTAACAAGACATTATAAAAAGTATACACAATTATAATATACAGGGGACAATTAAAGGTAAATTAAAACAAACTGCCTACAAATAGATATATATTTTATTGTTTAGAGATTGCCAGCAATAATGTAACTGAACGAAGTACACCAA